GGAGCTTGGCGACGCGCTTACTATGGCTGAACTTCCTTTGGTTGCCCTCAACCGCTTGCCCGGTGCGACTACCGCCTGACTTAAAAAATCGAATTTGCTTTGTTGATTACGTATTGGCTAAAACTAAACTTGAGGTGTTTACTGCAACATTTGTTGATGTTGAGGTTACTCCTGATAAATATCCAGCTGATATTGTGTAAACGATATATTTGATTCTGATTGGCTAACATATTTTTGCATGAGGTTGTTTTGGGGTTGCGTAAGTGAACGAAGTAACGCTACACCCCGCGCCACATTCGATCACGCACCCACGTCAGTGGCTGTAGCTCTCTCAATTTTTAGGGTTTGAAGTGCTATATAGACATGTTGCTCCTGTTATCGCACAAAATCGGCTACACGTGCTAATGATTGCGATTTTGAATATTACACCAGGGCTTCAATACAAACAATTAATTTTGGCACTGCGACACATTAACCACGCACGCCTTAGTATACTGAACTCAGGTATTATGTATCGTAATGATCGTGTCTAGTGTACATGAACGTATCAACATTGTATGGGGTGGGAGATGGTGACCGACGAGCGGGGCCAACTGTGGCTAACAGGAACAATATAGCTAAATACCACGGCCAAACTCTAATAATTGAGAGAGCTACAGCCACCGACGTGGGTGCGTGATCTAATGTGGCGCGGAGTGTATTGATGAATCTTGAGCGAAGGTGGCCTGCCGACTCTGTTGGAATGTCATTAAAGTACATACCGGTGATATCAAGAATTTACCGTGTTCAAGTTGAAAAACAAATTTCGCTAAAATAGCTACCGGTATTACAATAAATCTGCATAATTAAAATAGCTCTTCGGAATAGCTGCTTCATGGAAAACGGCCTATCACCAATGCTGGCGATCAACAAAAATTTACTCATTATTAAATGATATTTGTATCTTTTTGGTTTATTACATAGCACTGTGTTTGCACTGCTTACCGATCAAGTCGTAGGGTGGTTTCAAGTGCTAACTCAGAAAACCCGCGCATGCGGGCTGATGGTAGAAGCCACGCTACCCATTCCTGCTCGGTCATATCCTGAGTAGCTGTGTACCCACACTCCAATACAGCTTGGGCAATTTGGTTTATTAGCTATGCCCAGCCTTTAAAGTCTATGCGCATTGTACTCGAGAAAGATAATGTGCTCCAATGCGTCTTAGTGGTGGATCGTTTCTTGCCTTGTCCCCA